CATGACTATCTGTTGATCACAACGAGCTAGTCAACTAGAGGCTCACTAGGGACATATTGTGGTCTATGTATTCACACGTGTATTACGATTTCCGGATAATACAGTTATAGCATGAATAAAAGACAATTATCATGAACAAGGAAATATAATAATAATACTTTTATTATTGCCTCTAGGGCATATTTCCAACACTTTCTTGATTGGGTTAACTTGATGAAGACTAGTTGATTGCTCCCCCATACTCCACTATGGGTGAGCCACTCTTCCGCACATCTTCACAAGTCCATTGTCACCACAAAGGACGGCAAGCTTCAAGCATTTGATCTCTTCGTGATGCTCCACTTGAACTTGCACACCGCAACCTAACCCCACAAAGAATCCTCACGAAGACCATGGGTTAGTACTCAAAGCGTAATTGACAATGCTTACCATACCATGGGATCACTTGATCCCTCTCGGTACATCTTCTACGCTTTGTGGGTTGATCAACTTGATTCACTCTTTAACTTAGTCTTGATCGACCTCTCACAAGACCAATCTTTAGGTAATTCCTTGAATAGCACCTTGGTCGACACAAACTCTCCTTGAAACCAACACATGTACTCCAAGAAAAGCCTATGGACAAAACCTTCAAATATAACTCAAGGCAACCATTAGTCCATAGAGATTGTCATCAATTACCAAAACCAAACATGGGGGCATCGCATGTTCTTTCAGTCTCCCATATTTTCCCTTTTATTTCCTGTAATATTTCCACCACTCTTTTGCATTTAGATTATGCAGCAAACGATTTTTGCTATAACTAAAACTTGGCACATAAATCAAGCACAAATTTTTGGGGTGGCACAAAATGTTTGGGGCCACATTGAAATCATTTAAATTATAATTGCATTTAAAAGGGCTAAATGGGTGCCTCTGGTCCACTGTTTAATATCCATGTGCATTTTAAACATTTCAAAAAAAGTTTGTTAATGTATGACGATTATGTAGTGAATAATTTCAACCTAAGGGACATTTTTAATTTACTGCTTTATAAAATTATAACTCGACTTGACATTCCAATTTGAATTTGAGTTTGGTTTGAAACAAAATGAGGATTAGTAAAATAATTATGATGACATAGCATCATTAGGCATGAGACTGTAGCATGACATCGGGGGTGTTACAACACCCTAAAACAACCGGAAAAACGAAGACATCCGAAGCCATGTGCTGTCATCTTGAGAAGACCCCTGCAACACAAATCTATAGCCATGCATACCCAAACATGTCAACATATTCAACCACGGCATAATCGCGGCCACACTGCCTCCTCCCTTTCTTCACTTCAGCCTTGAAAATACAAGGACACAATTGTGCATCCAACACGTGTGCACCAACCTTTGCCATTTGTGGCTTTTGAGTATCGCTATATGTGCCCCTTTGAGATGGAAGAGCAACTCAAACGGAGAGACCCAAAAGGACACGAATTTTGTCCGTTTGGGTCGTTCGTCCGCCTAGCAGACATGAGGCGTACACGCGATGAAACCAACGCACAAGATGCAAAAACGGACACTCGACGGCGAGTTGGGCTAGCAGGCGCGCGGCGAGCGGCGACGCACGCGGGCGGGGCGAGCGGCGGGGCGCGCGGCGGGCGGAGCTGGGCGAGCGGCCACGGCGGGCGGAGGCGGCCAGACGGGCCGCTCGATGCAGTGCAGCGGAGGGACGTGGTTGTTGGAGGCGGTAGACCTGACCTCGACGGCGCTGACCTCCGCGCCCCACCCTCCTCCGCCCCCGAGCAGCGCTGGGCCTCTTCGTTCTAGCCGGAATCGGCCGACGTAGCGGCGATAACAGAGGGGACCGAGAGAGAGTTGTACGAGAGAGACAGAGATGTGTGCGGTCGCTGGTAGGTAGGACCAGGGCGGACACGAGCGGGCGGTAGCGAGCGACGAGAGCGTCCGCTTCTGTCTGCTTCGTACCCATTTGTTCCCAGATTTGGGTTAAGTTTGGGTCGGGGACGGACAGCAGGCGGACACGGACGTCCATTTGGGTCACCCCGTTGGGCCAAATTTTATGTCCGGATGACCCAAATGGACAAAATGGGTCGCCCCATTGGAGTTGCTCGAAGAGAACTAGGATCCAATTTCGATGTCGCGGCCGGGCCAACCACGCAAGCAAAGCATGATATCCGTCCAGCAACACAGCAGCACGGAGAAAGAGTATGAACAACAACAGAAATCATACCAACAAGGAGGAAGAGGAATCTCCATCTCTGCAAAACCACCACCCACCTGAGGACCAGCCCGGCCAGTGCCGGTTGACCTGCAGACACCATAGCCCGACCCCAACAAGATTCAGGGATCCCCACCCAGCTGGCTCCTAGATGAAGGCAAGAGGCCCCGACCGAAGCTCGGGGAAACTTATTTAGACGCAACAACCTCAACACCATCTTCCTCAACCCTAACCCTACCGAGTACACACCTGATGCACAGATCTGAGGTTCCCCCCTCCCGTCGCTGTAGCGGCCAGCGGAGGGAGAGGAAATTAGCTACGGCGCCAGCTGAATGCAAAGGTACCCAATCACCTTGCTAACCCTAACTGCTCTTTCCGGAGGCTCTGTGTGGATTTGGAGTTATAATGTACTCCTAGGGAACAGAGAAGGCAACACGTTTTATTGTAAAAAAAAAGAGAAGACAACACTTCTGTCACTGTAAAAACATACTGCCTGATCGTAATGACGTGCAATCCAATTCGACCGACGCAGGACTCCAACCGACATAGCGGCCCGCCAGCCTGGCTCAGACAACCCAATCTGTGTTCGGGTCGGGTCGGGCCGGGTCGAAAACCCTAAACCCAGATCGATCGAGACCGTCTTCTCGCAACCCTGGAATCGAAGCCTGCCAAGCGGGGAAATGCTACACTTACGGACGGTTTTGACACGGAAGGGGTTACGGGCTGAAGTGTAAATCTATGGTTTGCTAGTGGTGGGGCCCTCAACGAAATTCAAGGGGATCGAGAATATACATGGCCATAGGAAGCTCAGTTCGGCCCGAAAAAGCCCGACCCGGCCCGGCCCGACGCTGCTCCCGGGCCGGGCTCGGGCCTAGATTTTAAGCCCGATGGCCGGGCCGGGCCGGGCCTAGGCCCGTCGTTTTTGCGTTTTTCTGAAGGTTGGGCCGGACCGGCCCGGAGCCCGACGGGCTTTTACATGTTCGGGCCGGGCTCGGGCCCAAAAAACAGGCCCAATGGCCAGGCCAAGCCGGGCCCGGGCCTGGGTTTTTTGCGTCATGCTTGGCTAGGCCCGGCGCGAAGCCCGGCCCGGCCCGAGGTATGGCCAAGTATAATCGAGAATAAGGAGTAGACACGGTAGCCTGTAGCCTCTCTCCCGTGGTCTATGCTATAGCTGGCTAAACAGGCCGGCCCGCGAGCACGCCGGCACGGCCCGCCATGGGCCAGGCACGGCACGGGCTAAACGGGCCGTGCCCGGCACGCGGCACGCCTTGGGCCGTGCCTGGGCCTGGAGCCTGGGCACGCGGGGCGGCACGGCACGGCCCGTTTAATTTTTTTATATATTTTTTAGATTTATATATATGTATATATACCTAAAATACAGCCCAATAGGCCTAAAAACCAGCCCAGCAGGCTGAAAATGTGCAGCCCAGCGTGCTAAACGGGCCATCGGGCCGACCCGTTTACTAATCAGGCCGTGCCTGGGCCAAGGAGCAGCGCCCGTGGGCCGGCACGGCACGGCCCGGCTATTAAACGTGCCATGGCGGGCCGTGCCGGGCCAGGCACGATTAGCACGGGCCGGGCCGTGCCGTGCCGGGCCGGCCCGTTTGGCCAGGTCTGGTCTATGCCCCGTAAATGTAGGATTATTGCTGCCAAGCCCCCCTCCCCTGCTTTGCCCTCCGCTCCCGCGAAATCGACCTCCCTCTCCCGCGAAATCGACCTCCTGGTCCCGCCAAATCCAATATGCCGCGACACCGCCGCTGCAGCCGGCTGCGCCGCGTCGTCGTCGGAGCTCTCCTGCTGTTAGCCGGAGGCCACAACGCCTACTCGGGCCGCCCGGTCTTCTCGCTGCCCCTCGGCCTCGGCGCCCGCCCCCGCCCTTCCCGTTCGCTGCCGACTTTTCGCCATCGCCGTCGCCGTCGCCGCGATCCTTCCGCCTCAGCGATGACAGCCTCGCGCGGCGCCTTCTGCCCCTCCGCCTCCGCGCCGGCCACGCGCAGCCGCCGCAGGACGCGGATGTGGATGCGGTCCTCCTTCCCGACCAGGAGGTCCTGATCCTGGACGACGCTGAGCCTACCGGCGACGCCATCTGCGCCTTCAAGGGTGGGGCGTCCTCCCCGGCGAGACCGCTCGGGAGGCTGCCGGCGTCCGGGCTTCACGCATACGTCTGCCGCCTTCCCGAGCCAGCGCAGAGCTTCCAGCAGCTCCAAGCGCCGCTCTTACTCCACTCCTCCACCTCCTCGGCCGCCGCAGCTGCTCCAGATTCCCCTTCTCCTTCCCCGGGCCGCGCATTGCTTAACTGGAGCAGCGACCCGATAGTGTTCGACTCGGCTCTTCTGGACGGAGGCGATGTGCTCGTCTTTGCAAAGGGAGTCAGCCGCCGCCAAGGTCTTCAGTGCCTGTATCGCTACAGCGACGACGCCGTTACCATGCTGGCATCTTCACCAGCAATCGCCTCAGTACAACAAGTTACTCGCTGCCCCTCGCCACCGACGCCTATCAAGTCAGGAGGAAGCACCAAGGTTCTTGTCACACTAGGGGTCACCGGCGAGGATCCCATGCCCTCCCTTGCAACCTTTCGCCGACAGCAAGCTGAATCTTCTTCAGTGACTCTTCAAAAGAGTTCAATTTGCGCCTGCACAATGGGACGCAACATCTCCAAGTTTCTCAGGAAGTGGGCACTGTACCATAGTGCGATTGGGGTGGACAAGTTCTTTATCTACGATAATGGCAGCGAGGACAACTTGGCAGGCCTAGTGGCGCAGCTCATATCCGCAGGTTCTTGCCAATGGATGGCTGTCATGGACGTCGATGAGTTCATCTTCTCAACAAACTGGATAGGATTAGAGAAGCCATCAAAATCTTTGCTAGAGCCCGTCATTTCTGTTGATGATAGCGTTGGCCAAATATACCTTCCGTGTTATGATTTTGCGGTCGTCGGCATCAGCAATAGGGGAAGACGGATCTGTTCTGGTGGGAGGTGACTGAAATTGATGCTCGGTGTGGATCCCGCCCCCGCAATGGTTTTCGCCCTCTGTCGAATCTGTCACACCCTCATCCTCTTCTTCTTCTTGCTGGGTCCAACTGAGCTTTGGATCTTGGGAAGGGATGGAGGAGAAGCTGCCGCCGGCAGGTATGTGAGATGAATCCTTGAAGAACAACGATTTGAATGGATTGCAAATGGGTTTGAGCATACCTTAGAAGGAGTTGGGTGAACGATTCCGTCGCGGGGTACATCCCTGTCGGCGGCCGCTCCATCGCCGGACGGCAGATCTTGCGGTTTTCTCGCCGAGGTCTCGGAGTTGCGGTCAGGAAGGAAATGGGAGGCGATTCAAATTTCGAATGGCTTCTCCTCCCACAAGGTGGGGTCGTGACAGCAGTACAGGTATGGGCCGCCGCTCGTCTCTGAATACGTATGCGAGGGTTGGACTCTGTATTCATCGCGTGCTGGTTTGGAAAAGGATGCGAGGTGGGGTCGGAGTGAAATGCCACCTGGGCTGCGGGTCCGGCTGGTGTGGATCCACACGCGCTCGCTAGCGGTTGGGATAGCCGCTGTGAACGGAACGCGAAAGTAAAAGACTTTTTCGTGATTTTGCCCCCTCGGGCCAAACAGCACATCCACCAGAGGGGGTCTGCCAGGGCTACACGTGCCGGTTGAAGAACCCGCAGCGGCACAAATCCTTGGTCCGTCTCAACGCTGTGGAACCATCCCTCATGAATGTGGTCCATCATTTTAAGCTCAAGCCTGATTTCAAAAGCATCTGGACCGCGTTCGCACGTATTAACCACTACAAATACCAAGCTTGGTCGGAGTTCAAAATCAAGTTCAAGAGGCGCGTGTCTGCTTATGTTGCTGATTGGAAAGATCCGATCAACCTCGACTCAAAGGACCGGGCTCCCGGCTTAGGAGTTGATGACACCGAACCAGATGGCTGGGCCCAAAAATACTGCGAGGTTAAAGACAATATCCTTCAGCTGTTAACTGCAAGATGGTTTGGTGTCGGATTTGGGAACCCTCATTAGCTCCAATCAGGCCAGGTAACACACTGGTAAGATCTATCGCCCCTCCCCCTCTTTTACATAGTAATTTCTGTTTATTTATAGTAGTAAGACACTAACAGAACGTAAATCAAAACCACCAAATTTTCCAGAATTAAAAATTATCTCTTAAATTGGATGGTGTACACCTTTTAAATAGGCTTTAGATTGATGGGGAAGCACCACAGTACGCATCTACTGCTCAATGATGAACATACTCCCTCTAGTCTAGTTCTGAAGAAGTCCCCAAAGTGCAACCTTTACTGCTTATTTTTTTTAACTATAAAACTCTTCGAAATTATACTTTTTAAAAATACTTTATGAGAGATAACCTTTATTTTTATTATACATTACTGTGGAACTCTTCAAACCAATAGTTTTTTTAAGATACTTCAAGATTACCTACACATGGTTTTCACATATCCAATCCAAAAATATTATGAAATATAGTCAGTCAAAGTTTCCAAAATGTTAATTGAACCTATGCCTCAACCAAGAACTTTTCGAGAACTAGCGGAGGGAGTATAATAACCTGAGAGCATTTCTCCTATCCAAGTTAGCAGTTTGTTTTCGCTATTCAAGTTCTTGCTGTCCTTCTTTTTCCATGTTGAACTGTTAAGAATAGAATTATGTTAATTTTGCCTTGATACTCAGCATGTGACACGGTGCTTTAATATTGGTTCTTTTGCTAAAATTGGATGACTTCTTTTGCTTGAATGATTTTGGCTTAACAGTTGGGGTTAGATCAGTTGAATTTGTAATGCTTAGCTGGAGCACGACATGAAGCCTCTTAATTTTATTTTATATTTGGGCCTGGGTGGGCTGGATTACTAATCCATGAAAGCTTCACCCAAATGATTTCAAATCTTGTTTGTTGCGGTCCATTTCTTAAATATCTACCGGTTGAGCCTTATGGTTGTTTGGCTTCTGTTCTGAAACTAGTTCATTGAGATGCTGGTATACACTTTGTTGGCTTTTCTTTAAAACAAATCTTGGTTTTGACTTGTTTTAATTAGCTGGAAATATCTGTGGAAAAAGTCTTTCTTGAAATGGAACTCATACATCAAAATGCATCTCCAATGGAGAATGCGACATTGTCAGACTGAACTTGCAAGGTGAACGAGTGAACCAGTGTATTGAAAATTACCTTTGCTGTGTGGTTTCTACTGATATGAAGAAATGGGTTCAGCATTTACCCATGGCTGAATATTGGTAAAACAGTTCCTTTTATACGTCTCTGCAAAAGACTCCTTTCGAGGCCTTATATGGATATCCACAGCCACAAATCAGTGAGTTCTCAATGGTAGGCACTACCGACAGTGAGGCACAGGGTTCCTTATCTGGCACACAACAACTGCTGTCAGCACTGAAAGCACAATCTCTTAATTGCTCAGCAGCGCATGAAGAAATATGCAGATTGCAAGCGAGTGGAAAGGACACTTGTAGTAAGTGACATGGTTTACTTGAAGCTTCAGCCATATCGTCTGAGTGCTTTCGGCCTTCGCTCTCATATCAAGCTGCAAAGCAAGTTTTATGGACCATTTTGAATACTGTATCGCATGGGCAATGTGGCATATCACCTGCAGCTGCAAATGAGAGCATCCACCCAGTGTTCCATATCAGCCAGCTGAAGAAACACATTGGACCCAATGCAGTTCCCTGTGCTGATTTACCTCTAGTTGATCCTGAAGGGCGTACAAAAACTGAACCTGTTATCATAATTCAGACCCGAAAGATTCCTCGCAACAATCTGCCGGTTGTCCAATGGCTTGTACAGTGGGAGAATTTTCCACTGGATGTCGCAACTTGGGAAGACGCATATTTCATAAAGCATACCTTCCCAGCCTTTTTCAAGACAGTCAAAGCATGGCGTCGTCAACCTTCAGCTTCTTGAGGACAAGTTCATGCTCGCAAGGGGGCATTCTCAGGCTGAACTTTCAAGGTGTTCTAGTCTAAAGTTAACTGTACCGGTTCAGATAATGAATGGCTGGGGATCCATGATGGGGAAGAAGATCGGACGGCTTGCATTCGCTCGTCTACCTCTCTAGCTTATTTGCTTTTCACTGTTGCTTTTCTAACCACTTTATTCTCTTCTAGCCAACCACGGCTGTAGCAGAACAATGTATGCGTTACACGGGATAAGCCCCGATCAATCAATAAAGTACTACGCGGCCTCCCAAGGGAGGTGAGACGCTTCTGAAATTTCACATGGATGACTTCTTTTCCTTGAATGATTTCGACTTAATAGTTGGGCTTATATCAGTTGGAATTGTAATGCTTAGCTGGAGCACTACATGAAGCCTCTTCTATTTTACTTTTGGGTTTGGGTGGGTTGGGCTAATAATTCATGAAAGCTTCACCCAAATGGTTTCAAATCTTATTTGTTAACTGAGGTCCATTTCTTAAATATCTATTGGCTGATCCTTTTTTGTTTGGCTTCTGTTCTAAACTAGTTCATTTCTCGTGAAGTCATGATTTTGGTGAGATGTTGATCTGCACTTTCCTTTAGAAAAACGAATCGTGGTTTTTTATGACTTCACATGAAACTTATCTAATGACACAGTTAAGTCTGGCTTATATGGTTATGTTCCAGTTTTGACTTGTTTAAATTAGTTGGAAACATCTTTGGAAAATGGCTGAACATCTTGTTTTATATAATCTGCGATGATAGTAATGGTTGTATATATATAAGAAAGTTTGTAAGGGGGGCAAAATTTCCTAGCAGATCTGTACTGACATCTCAAGGGTATAGTTTAAATTTTATCTTTGGAATTATATGTGCAATAAGCCTTCCTCTTTTAGCCAAGCTACCATGCAAAATTGTAATGTTTTACATCCATTTCGGTTTATAGGAGTGAGTTTTGCAGGAGTGGGATAGTATGTGCATATGCAGGAGTAATAGATATGTTGAGTTGCCTGAAACATTATTTCCACAGTACAGATGTTACACGCTATAGTCCACAGTTAGCTCAAGATACTCCCCAGCTTCCTCAAATGGTGCTAGTGGCGTGACATTGATTGTTGAGATATTCAGACCATTCGGAGCATCATCACTACATTGCACCAGATTGCTGCTGGATAACCACCACTGTGTGCAGCTGAATTGCAGTCTCTGGTAACTTTGAACCAACTAACAACCTCAGTCTCGAGTTCTGGCAGGAGTCAAGTCCTATCGAATGTATCGAGTTCGGCCGTTTCGACATTTGTGCTGGCAGTGCATCCAACCGGCGAACACATTTTGTCCGGCCGCTTCAATTTTTGCAAAGGAAATGAAAACTAAAATTAGGCACCGCGGCCATAGTTCAGGCCGGGCAGAGTGCCAGTGACCGGCATACATGTCAGCCTACAAAATGAACACCCTTCATAGTTTCACACCGGCCAACTAAGTCAGGGGCCGACACACTTGCCAGCACACAAAAGAGGCCATAGTTCATGTCTCGCGGCCTCCATAGTTCATGCCGGCACACAAGCCGGCTCAATCATCTTGCTCGAGCATCTCCTTTTGCTTCTTCTCGAACCAACTTCTTCTTTTCTAGACATCTCGCTCAAGTCCACGGTCATGAAAGCTAGAGCTACCTCTTTCGCTTTGGTGTTTGCATTGGTGGCCTCGATCTTGAACTTCTTCGGCCTCCTCGATCTCGAGCTTTCTCCTCTTGATGGCCTCCTCCATGTTGAGCTTCTTCGTTTGGAACTCGATATAGGCCTTCATTTGCTCCTCCTTTTCTTGGCACTTTCTCTCGTCCCATGCTTCCTTTTAGGTCATCATGCCTTGCAAAGTTTCTTGCAAGGCGAAAGATGACGCATCATGCTTCTCGTCCACCTTCGAGTTGGTCTTGCCCCTAGGCCTCTTCACTCCATCTTCATGCCCAGCCACGGCCGCCGACCCTCCATGCTTCTTTAGAGCGGCATATTGATCTTTGAACTTGGGGCAATCTTTGATGAGCGTCCTAACAATGGGTGAGGGTGAATGGATTGTTGTTATGCCGGGCCGTGAAGGCTTCCGAAGCTTGGAATGCCTACACAATCAAAGTGAAGGCCACAAATGTAATAGCGAAGGACACAAAATGAAACAAACATGAACATGACATAGGAACGAAGAGAAGAAGTTCATACCAAGTAACCCACACCTAGGCCACTCACGGGACGGGCTTCAACGCTCTCAAGCGCGGCACAAAATTTGTTGTATTCTTGTTGGATAAACAACCACCACTTTTGGATTGAATTGATGCCACGGGTGCTCGCAAACTTGTAGGGCGGAAACTTCCTACGTTCATGAAAGGTCACATGAACTCTCCCCTCACAAAACATCACCTTTTTGCTCAGCGCTGGCCTTGGGATCTTGCCCTATTTCCTTCCAACTCTCGCAAATCAACTTGTCCTCATCTTTGGCGTATGCCCCTGTGCGAATGATTTGATTCCTCTTTTGTGCATTGACTCTTTGGGTGAGCTCATCGATAAACAATGGCTCCTCCTCAATGTCTACGCCCTCTTCTTGCTCTTCGCAATAGATGTCTTCATGCCATGAGTTGCCATGGCCGCCAGCCTCTTCTTCTTGGTTTTCACGGACGCCAATGTGTTCGGCGCCATCATCTTGGCCGCGGCCGTCTTGGCTTTGGCTCGTCGGATCGAAGCCTTGGCCTTGGCCCTTGAGGTGGAAGGCTTGGCCACGACCCTCGTAGATGACATTCTCCATGAAATCGTTGAAGTCGGGGTCGTCTTGCGCCGGAGTCGGGTAGGGCGTTCCATTGAACAGGTTGTTGGCGTTGGGAAGGTTGGCCGTAGGAATCGCCCACGGCTGCTTCCTTTGCATCCCGGTGGCTGACGAGCCGGTGCCACTAGACCAGGCGTGTCGTTGAGGTCGATGACGGCCGCAGGAGCAGGGGTGGCCGTCGTGATCACGCTACCGTCCGACGACGTGGGAGAAGCGGGTCGCAGCATGCTCGTGCGCCGGATGAACACCACTCATTTGCGGTGTTGTGGAGGAG